GTTAGAAGATTTTTGTGAAGAATCAGATAATTTAGTCTCAGTATTTTGTAAATTATTTGTAAATTGTGAGGACGAAAATCGATCCACGTGATGACTTGAATTATCAACAGTAGAAGTTGAATCTTTATCTCTAGAATAACTAGAATAATGCCTTGAAAATTTCGAATCTGAATAATCATTTTTCCAAACTCTGTTTTGTGAATATGAAGGACTAAAACTTTTTATTTCGCTTCGAAAAGTTGAAAACAATCTAGGATATTTGTTATCATAAGGAGAACGTAATTTTTTAAATGGTCGAGATGGTTTAATAGATCTCCTATAACTAAAGATCGAATAATCTTGATTTCTATCGATAATAGTTCTTGATCTATTTGGAATGTAACTATATGGATACTTAGATCTACCTCTCCAAGGTGTAGAGATTGAATAAGAATTTGAAAAATGTTTATAATCACTCAAATTTGTATTCCTACTCTTATCAGAACTTGATGTCGGACTATCGTTCGGATCAGTTTTGTCTTTAATTCCTGATTGATTTGATTGTGAAGATGGCTTATTTGGAATGCATTCCATAGAAAAGATATCTTTTTTGGCAGTGAATTTTCTTTGGTTAAATTTTATTGATATAGAAGTTGATTTTGATAATATGTTTGGTTGAGAAGAATCATCATTATTTTTTATCGAATTGTTTGAAATATTGATATCACTTTTTTGATCTACCATGATTTTGGACGTTTGTTCAACGGTAGAATTTTGTTGTTTATTTTCCTCGTTTGTAGTTTTCATATAAAGAGAATTATCACTAATTGAAGTCACTGGACTGCTTGACTGGATGGCTTCCACTTTACCCATAATAAAGGAATGTAATTTCTTTAATCTTTCATATTGGCCTTGTTGAGATAGTTTTCTTAATTTTTGATCTAACTGAAATTTTGCAAGAGAAATAAAAAATAAATTTAATAAACCTCAATAAAATAAAGAGAAGAGTTAATCATTATAAACTTACCTCATATTTTGAACAATATTCATCATAAGCTTTTTTGTCATACTTTAGAATTTCGGCAATAGTTACAATATCCTGATTTCTTTTATTCGTGCTCTCCTCAACTTTATCTTTCTTAATTAATTCATCATTTTCATTGATTAGTTTATCAAGGTTTTTTTCTTTAATATTAAAACCAAACAATTTTAATAATTCCAATTCATCATGTCTCTCTTTAATTTTCTTTTCAACGTCTCCATATTCATCCTTAATAGTATTATGAAATTCTAAACGTTTTAGTTTATTTTGTTTAACTTGAAATCGTAATAACGCTTTCATTTGAGCTTCACAATTCAATTTATTAACGTCGCTTCGAATTGCGTTAAATTCTTGACTAGTATAATTGTTTACAGGGTTATGCGGTGGTTCTATTGCAAACCCGGTTCCATCAGTAAAACTAGAAACAAAAAAAAATTAAATTAATTAATTAAAATAAATGATGAGAGATTTCACGAATATAAAAAATTTTAAATTTAATTATAAATGCGACAAAGACACATTGAATTTAATAAATTACTTGATAGGAAATTCTCCCAGCATTAAATTGAAAAATTGATCATCCTAAAAAAAAAAAAAAAAAAAAAAAAATAGATTTAAAATTATTAAAAAAAAAATTTTCATTAAAAAAATGGTAAAATTAATTTTAATATTTACAGGAACCAATTTCTCCATATTTTTATTTATGAAGTATATAAGAAGGATGGTTGCTTTAATTATGCGCTATCAGTTTCACTATAGAAAGTTATTTTTTTTTTGTTTATTACTTGATATAAAAATAGTATAATTAAAAATACTATATATTACATAATTTGGTCTGATTTCAAAGATTATTACCCTATTTCCTCTAAAAACCACGCAACAAAATGCACTCTC